TACAGAATTCAGAGTTGCGGATGATTCGTCGATGTTAACGCCATAATGCTGATGTTTTTCGCCACCCATGTTGCAGCATCTTCGAGGAATAAGTGATATGACAGGGAGCAAAAATCTTTATACATAAAACATATTGATGTAAAGTAAGTGACATATTAATACCATCTTTTGCGCAAGCATAATTCAAAATTTAAATTTAAAATTTAATCTGAATCAGTCACAACGTTTGTCTGATAGTACGTACTACTTTTATGATAGATGCAATTTTCACCAATCACAATAGAGAAGATGTATTGATTGCACATACAATGTCTCAACGAAGTTGAAACCTAAGGAGTTCAAACATTTTCATGATAAAGAACTATACAACAGACAGAGAATTCAACCTTAATCATCAGCACCACTTTGTTAAGTCATCGGCACAAAGACATGCCTGAGATGCCACATATGATCAGTTAAATAACCGACCTTCAGCTGATAGGGGTCCGGACAATCCAGTAGAATTATGAACGATAGTGGTCAGAGAATTCTGCTTTGAAAGCAACAACTTTCTTGAGAAATTACCCACGGGTTCCTGTCTTCCAGACCCCCTCCCCTTCGACGATGCCAGTGCATCATTGGGATAATTGAGATATCCCGAAAGTCGGGATAATCCGTTTCATTTGATTCAAACGACGGCATAGCAAAGCGTAAAGAATCGGTGTTCGGATCAGTGTAAACTTTACACCATGATTTCACCGGTCCGGTTGCGAATTATGCACTTGTATGAGGGTCTCCAAAGCATCGTCTGACAACCATGTTTGGGAGTTCCGCACGATCGATAAAATACTGGTTCGTCATCGGTGTAACTCATCTGCCGGCAGTTGTGTAGCTGGTACACATTTCGACGCTAAGTAGGCTATTTTGGGAAGGCAAAAAGAAGCGAACACGTCCAAAGAAACTTGTGCAAATCCGCCGTGGTCGTCGACCGGTGGTTCGAGGTCGTAATTTAAGGAGCGCGCTGCAAGTTTTTAAAGAAACAGTTTTTTAGAGGATTAATTCGAAATGCAATGAACAGATCCAGTCAGACCACAGCTTCCGTGTACAATTTTCAAGGCAATTTTTGGAAGTTCATTTTTTTACCAGCCACGCTGTGAGGAGTGAGGGCAATGACCCAAATAGAGGGTCACAAGCCGGCCGGAACCACGGCGGAGTGAAGTCTGAAATTCGTATGAGCAGGTAGGTATGAAGATCTGTTCGAGTTCGAAGTTCGAAACGGCCTTTAACCTACTTAATGACACTCATCGGTTTCTGTAGCACTGCATAGTAAATCTGTTTATAATAAAAGATCTTTGACTAAGCTGTCCCGAAACGGCAACGAATAAAGCACCATCCACCTTTCTTCCTGAAGATGGCATCAATAACTCGATTCATTATTGCGTCTATTCTTCTAACAGTGTCGAACGTTTTTTGATGCGCCGTTACTTTAGTCATGACTCATTTGACTTGAGTAGTAGAAGAAGAAGCTGCCTGAACTTTGAAGGTGTCAG